CTGAGGCCTGGGAACACATGGAGCAAGCAAGAGTGCAACTGAACCTACCGAATAAAATGCAGATAACATCACACACATTCTCTCTTTTTCATAAGCATCTACACATGATCCTTTCTGACAACGCAATGAATGCGCTAGTAGCAGATCTGACTTCCCTGATCCTAGCACTTTTCAAAGAACAAATACATAGCTTCATTCCTTGGCATAACTTTCAGCAAACAGACTGTTTTGCAAACAAAAAAGGTGCATTAATATATTATATGCTGGTAGCAGAGCTGCAGAAAAGCAGCTTGAAATTTGAAGGACTGTAGGAGCAGAACAAGAGATTACATGTTTGCAAACCCTTTTCACAAATATTCTTCTCTTATTACCACCCCCAGCCTGCCTCTGGACATAGAGGGAAGGGCAGACTCACTGTGGGAACACTTCTTTTTTGTTGAAAAAAAGCATATAAATACACACTTTATCTTTGAGTTGCTCAGAGCTGCATATGAACACAGTTCCACCACCCATTTCGTGACTAAAGCCACAGGCAAAGAGCTATTTGTTTTAGAAATAAATTTTCACCTGTGCTGCAATGAACATTTGTCTGCTTTTGTAGATCTGCAGCTACAGCTACATGGAGCTGTGTGTCAAATTCATCATGAGAATTAGTTCCTCCTGAGCCTTCCCTTCTTTGAGTGCTCTTTGTCAAGGCAAGCATCTTTCCCAAAATACACTGAGTTTCCAAAGGAAGTTGACAGCTTTCTCCAGTCTGTTGGACATGTCTTGCTGCTTACCCCCGTTAAAGGAAAATCAGAGGTGTGCTTGGAAGGGGTGCAGCCTGAGGGGAGGCTTAAAATGTCAGTGCAACAATGTATGCATCCTAATTGGAAAAAGAAAAAAAAAAAAAAAAGAGCAGCTCTTCTCAAAGACTCAAGATCCAAAACTTCATTTTTCCTACAAATGGGAGAGGCTCAAAAATCTGTCCATGAAATTTCTCTGTTTAGCAACTGGGTGGTTTTGAGTTGACTGAAGCACACTGTCTGATGTAGCTCAGTCTTTCTGCATGCACCATACAAAACCATAGTGCTGAGCTTGATTTTACACCGCTGAAGACAGTAATGGAACCTTTACTTTGGTTTCTTGGGAACTACATTTCTAAAACCCCTCTCTAGCCTGAAACAAAAAGCAAAATGAATGAACAAACACAGGCTCGGAAAAGAGCAGGGAGCTGCTAGACACACTATGTTCAGCAGGAATTTGGTGTACGCGGCAACATTGTTGAACACTCACATTCAAGGCAGAAAATAGACCTTTCCAACTCTGTTCACACAGCAAACAGCAAAGCACCTGGCAGGGCTGCTTAGAAAAGCATATTCAGAGAAAGTAGTTTGTGGCTGGGTTTTAAATCCTAGGAAATTAACAGATTTGCACCTTTTGGCGAAAAAGCAGACCAGGCATGTTTTCTTCAGCTAGTAATTTGATCCATTTTTAATGGTGATATGTGTTAGACTAGATTTCCTGCTTACGATCTCATCTGAAGTATTTTTGGACTGTTACCATCATTAAGGAAAATACTGAAGCAGGAAACATTGGAATGCTGTTGATATTCACAATACAAAACACAGTACACAGTGCAAACAGCATTTCCTTTACCAGAAGGGTTTAAGTGCTTTCAATTCTCTACATTTACATTTCTCTTAAATAACCATTAGTACAGCCAAACATGAAGACATCTTAACCATTTGGCTACCATTAAAATAGAAGAGGGTTGCATATTTGCAGAACATACACATACAAATTTTGTTTTGGTCCACAGAAGAGCACAAGATGACAACAAGCATAGCACAACACTCTCCCAGCCTCCAGCTACTTGCAGCTTAAGGGCTTTCTGCAGCAGAGATACTGCCAGGGTATATAATATCCTTTATAGTTTTGCCTTCCATTAATTCACCCACTCTCCTTTTGAACCCATGTACACTTTTAGAATTCACAGCACAGTCATAAATGAAGTCTCCACTGGCACGAAAGTGTTGACCCGTTGGTGGAACCAAAACACCTGATGTTAAGCTCAGACCCATGTCTAAAATCCCTCCTGGCACGACCTTGCTGCCACCCTGAATGCAGGTCAGAGAGCATTTTGCACAGGTAATCATTTAAATGAGTAATCGTTTAAAATTCATCAGATATGAAATTAAAATTCACTAAGGATTTATGCTTTCACACGACACCTCTACAATGGTGAGCAGAAAAAGACTGGAAGACTTCTCACTGTGGAAAACCTGGCACAGCTGGGCACATTCTCAGCACCAGCTGTGTGTGATGCTCCAGCCCATGGAGCTGCTGCCCTGTCTGACCAGTGGTCTTTGCCATCGTGGCTACTTGGTACAACTGATTCAGCTAATGAGCTACAACTGCAGAGCATGGAGACCAGACCCAAGAGTTGGTGGTGTTGAAGTGCAAATGATATGCTTTCCTTGTCATACTCAGCCAACTACTTACAGAGCTACTTCAAGAGAGAAAAAACTTCCAGCTCTGACCTGATTGTATTGTCAGCCTTCCTCACTAACTATATGGTCAAGTCTTACTGTCAGAGTTTGGCCCAAGGTTCAGGAAGTCCAAGCCATACCAGTTGGCCAGGTGGCACGCATTTTCCCAAGTGCCTTCCACCCTCTCCACCTCTGTAGCGATGGTCTTCCCCTCTTTATAGACGAGGGCTGACCACTAACCCATAGTCTGCTTTCCTCACCCATTTCCTCTACCCTAAGTTGAACAGGAAGATGAAGTATGGGCTCCAACTGTTTTAAAATGCCTTCTCTGTCACCCCTCTAGTCCTGCTCTCAAGATCTTCCATTTTAAGGTCTTGGTCTTAGACTGCAAAGTAAAGAAGAGCTCTAACCTCAGCAACCAAGACTACATTGCATTTCTGACCACTGAGTCCAGCTGCATTTGGGACAACACAGTAACAGGGGCCCAGAAGGAGACAGCTGGGTGTTAGGGGTAAAATACTCTCAATAGAGTACAACCAGGAAAGACCACGATGCACACTACTGTCTTTTGGCATTAAAGAGCTTTCTTCTCTGAGAAAGCCTCCTGCAATATCGTATTCCCCAATACAAACACATCTCTAGTGGTTATCAAGTCTCCAAACAAGTAAGCAACTCCTCCCTAAGCAGAACTTTACTCCCAAAGAAGAAGGAGGACCAAAGACGTGAAGTTCCCTAGAATCATCTAAAATGGATTCTACATAGAGTATTGGGTAGTAATATCAAATCCTAAAGTGGATAAGTAGTGAGATCACTGCTTTCATGTCCTTGTGGTCTTGACACTCTTCTTAGCCATTTTGTCAGCAGTACTCCTCAATCACTACAGCAGCAGAAGCGTCCAGCACACACTCATGCTACCTCATTGAAAGGGGGTCTTGAAAAAGAGTTGGGCTGTGCTAACTCAAAGCCCCTGCATGGTTTTACACAGCTGCACATCCAGCTAGAAATCTCTCCCTGGGCAGCTTCCACACCCAAGGCTGATGAAACATGCATGGGGTAGCTATAAAGTTAACAACTTTGTAATTAACTTTAGGAAACACATTTTACAGACTCAATGATCTGTAAGAGTGAGCTTGCCTGCAGGCTGAAAGAGCCCTTGCCTCCCCTCCTTTCTCCCAGCCAGAACCACATGGCACTGGTTTGCTAAGTCAAGCAACTGGGTATTTCAGAGAGGAAAAGAAGCACTCCTTCACAGGAAGATTACAGGCTGCCAAGTTAGAGGCCAGTGTGAGAAACTCTGGGGCTAACAGGCTGCTGCAATGCTCCCCACCCATTCACACTGCCTGCACTGTGCTCCATTCTTCCCTCTGAATTCCCTCAATGAATTGTCAGGCTTTTTTTGGCCAAGACCCATTGCTTCTTCCTGAACTGGGAAATGCCTGCTGAACTCCTGGCATTGTCCAAGCTATGGTAAAAGATTTCTGTTTATCACAGAAAAGCCCTGGAAAACTGAACTACTGTGTCATTTAAGGCATGCTTTTGCACTCCTTCTGAAAGCACTTCCCCTGCATCTGCCGTGAAGCTGATGGACAACTGCTTTGTGGGAAGACAGCCACAGGAAAAACTCACTCCAGAGCAACTAGAAATGCCACACTGCATCTACCATCTGACTTTGAGAAGTGCTGGTACCCATGGCTACAATTCAAACCAAGAGGAAGGATAAATCCCCAGCCCCCTTGAAAAAAAAAAAACAGGCTTCAGTTCTTTTAAGAAGCAATGGGTCAATGCAAAGCAGACCCCTGCCTTCCCAGTCTCCATTTCTTCTCCATACAAAGATGGCCCAAGAAAAAAGCACGGCTGGGGAAGGGAATGAAGCTGTCCATTGCTCTGCAGCTCAAGACAGTAGGAAGGCTGAAGCTAGCCCGTGCTCTACACTGGTGACAAAGACCATGGCTCAGCTGTCACCTTCCTTTAGTTTTTCACGATTTGAAGAGACTGATGCCTGACAGGTACCTCGATGCACCCTGGGTCGTTACTGTTTAGCACTGTTGGCGGTGTTTGATCAAGAGGCTCCAAAATGTGCAACCTTTCCGAGTCTGTGCATGGCAAAAACTAGGCAATTCATAGCTTGGACAACACACAACTGTATGTTTTAACTGCTAAATTAGTGCAACAGGAAGAAAGGTCTCCTCTGGTTGTACGTCCTCTGCTATAAGTGAAGTTTTCATGAGACCTGTCTTTGATTTCTTGCTGTCAGGAGCCACAGAATAGGCTGACAGACTCCGACACAAATTATCAGCCAACTTCTCACTGGGAAAATTGTTTTCATAAGGTCAAAGTGTAGCAAATGCAAGCAGCATTAGGATTAAAGGCTGAAATGCAGTTCCCTCTTGCTATCCAGCGCCTGGCCAAAGCACTAAGAGGTCAAATTAAACAAACTAGCCAGAGAGGTCTGCTGTCAAACCAAAACATAGCTACTGCCCACCCCACATCCCTCCCTCTCTCCATCCCCAGTCTCGCTCAGCAACGTACCTGCTGACCGTCAGAGTTAATTCATCTGTGCAACCCTTGATTTTGTTCTGCGCCTCAAGGTGCGTCATGTTATCTGTGTTTACTCCATCAATAGCTATGATCTGGTCTCCCATACACAAGTGGGCTATTGCAGCTTTGCTACCTGGAGTCACCTAAGGGAAAACAAGAAGAGTGAATAGACTTTCTAGGGAGAAGGTTTCCATAGCAACATTTGAAAAACAGTTGGAGCACTCAGGGCTTCTCTCACTGGTACCTGTAAGCAAAGAGGTGAAAACTAATGAAAGTAAATTCTCAGCAGAAATCTATCTGGGTCTCTTAGATGCTCCTCAGTATTAGTTAGGGTCTGGATTCTATTTTGGGACCCACAGATAGAAATTTGGGGAGGGGACAGCAGGTAAATAATAAAAATTGTATTTTCACTCAAGGCAATTGGCTTTGTGCTAGAGAGCAAGAACATACAGAAAGCAACTCTGTTCTTCGCTGGACAGAGAAGTGCTCTCCAAAACGGAAGGTGCTAAGGACAGCCAGGAAGTCCAGACCTCTAAGAATGGAGGTGACAGAAGAGTATCAGAGTCATTGCAACACAGTCAACACCAATCATAAACACCTTCATCTGCACCATGATCTCGTTTGCTTCCTTCCTTGGAAGGAATGTTTGGGGTCAAGATTTTGGATTGCTTCTTTAGTTGTAGTAAACTGGTTTTGCCTGGGAACAGCTGCAACAGACACTCACTGACTTCAGCGAGACCAATCCCAAAGCAATGCTTGATCGAACAAGCAGACTGGAAAGGAGAAAGACATCAGAAACTTCATCTTTAAACCATAATCCGACAATACTTTCTGAAAAAGTAGAAGCATCATCCCCAGCCTGCCAGCATGACCACAGCTCACCTTGATGCATTCTGCCATATTACAATCTCCCTTTCCTCTCCATGTGTGGTGCTTTGCTTCCCAGATATACTACAGCACTGCTAAAGAGGTGCTGTGCACTGCCTGAGAAATGACTGATGGGAAGGAGCTCAGGGTAATCTCACTGAGATCCCAGACAGACAGAAGACACTATGCAGCAACGCCACCGGTACGATACTCCTCATGAAAAAGAAGGTTCCAGTTAAAACTTGGCATTTTCAAGCAAATCAACTAACTGGTTCACTCATTTTTCCCTCCTAATGAGGGATCAACCGAGATGTCTTTGGGCCAAAATTATTGCCTCAGTGGAGGGTGAAGAATGTCACATTTGTTTGTGGCTTTGCAAACACTACATAAGATTTTGTGCAGTTTTAATGACTTTGTAGAAGGAGCATAATGATTACTGTGGGCTTTCATCAATTATTTAATAGGCAGAGGAAATAAGGGTGGACTGCTCCCAGACATGAGTACAGATTAAAACATGCCTTGCAGCTAAGACATACCTCGTTTATGAGTCCGTTGCAACTGGTATTCATTCTACACATTCATGCTAGGTTTCAGCATGCTGGAAAGCAGCTGAGCAAACTGAGCAGAGCTGTCAGACATAAACAAACATTGTTCACAAGATTTAGCGAGTCCTCCTAATGTAGAATTGGATGGCAAATCATTCCCCCTAAAGAAACATTCACCTCCTAGGGGTGTCACACATTAGCTGCAATCACTGCTTTCCCTGTGCCAAAAATGAGGCTGTTCAGCACACCTCCTCACAGATGTAGCGTGGTATTTTCCCTAACCAGAAGGAAGATCACAGGATGCTTTTCTTTTTTCACCTCTCCACTAGGATAATATTTCATGGAAAAGGGAAGGACACAGATGTCTATCACAGATGTCCAAGGTTGGCCAAGGTGCTCAACATTAAGCCAAAGACCTTGAGATGGGTCAACCAAATAGTGCCTGTCTACCTGCTCACCACTTTTAATGCTGCAAGCAGACTACAAACTGACAGAGGAAGTGCTAATGAAAAGACCAGACAAGCCACCAGATGGATATAGAAGATCTGCTTTAAATGTGAAGATCATTGCCTCCCAAGCTGCAGCCTGCAGCTGACTTGTGGCCTACTAAGACCACTGAGTGCAGCCTGCTGCTGCTTCACTGGATCCACTGCCTCGAGCATACCTTCATGTAAACCTTGTGACAAGGTCACCTAGCAGCCACAAAGAAATCTTGAGCACTGAAAGTCACCCACAGTCCTACCAGATATGGGAGCTGTCATTTTAGAAACCATGAGACAGATCCCTAAAGACATCGTTACACTGGAGGGAGCGTGCAGGGCACACGTTGCAGGTCTGCCCCTGGTCACTAAGCCTTAACCGAGTCTCTTGGTTTCTCGGTGCCTTTATTTCCTCTGCTATCAAAGGAGGGAGAGGGGCACATTGCTCAGCCCTGTGAGGAGCACCAAGTTCAGCACACTATTACCGTGATTCATTTTCGATCAGACAAGACTGCCAAGGGGTCAAGAATAACAGTAGATTAACACTGCCGCTGGAACACTGTCAGAGGCTCAGCCGTACAGCTTGCATTTAAAGACTGATAATCTATGCTACCTGTGGCAGGCTGCTAGAAATGATCCTGTACCACAAGGAGCAGCTGAGCCAGAGTAGCCAGGGACACTGAAGTACTGAAGCCTCCTGAAGAAACCCCAAGAGCCACCAGGATGAGTGAGTGGTATTCACAGTAACATCTCAACGCTTTGTCAGCGCTTGTGGTGTCATGTTCCCCTTCTGTGTCCACTTCAGAGGAATTTGAAATGTGAGTGCTCTTCTCCATCAGATAAGAGCCACTGGTAGCACAAGGGCTATTACATCCACTCAGGTACCATACAAACCTCTCCCCTAAGGGGAAGCTACGATGATGCACAGTAATAAAAAAGATAAGTGAATTTGCCAAAGGGAAACATGTTTTAAAATCCAGTTTCTTCAGTTCTGGAAATAACTTGCCCTGAAATGCAACCTTCCACAAACTGCTCCCCTACAACATCCATCTTGTACTCCCTCCCAGGACTGCTCATAGCAAACATGTCTGCACAAGGGCATGGTACTGCAGGGAACCCATCCCCCATCCTTTTAGGATGATTAATAGCTTCTAATAACATTCCCTTCCCTCCTCATAGTAAAGTCTGGGTTTATCTCGGTGCTGTCAATGCTGCTTTTGAGATTTGCTCATCTACCAGTTAAGTCAGGAAAGTAAAAGCGTTTCTGTTATTAAGTGAGGAGCAGAGAGCTGCCACTGGGAAGATCTTTTCCTGCTTTTATTTTTATCACATCCCTCCCTGGTCCATGGGGAGCAGCAAGGGCAGGCTTATGGCTGGGGAGGGGGACAGGCAGAGGCGCTCAGAGCACTGACAGCTACCAGCCAGCTTACACAACCCAACCAAAAGGACACCAAAAATGCACAAAAGCTTTCAGGCTCACAGGCATCTTGTAAATATTGCACTGCCTGAAACTGCTTTGCTCCTGCTCTCCTCTCAGATGTCTTAAAGCTTTGCATGGAGCAGACATCTGCAGGAACCAAGGGGATGGCAGGCACTGCCTTGCACACCTTGCACAGGCGGGTGACCCCCACATAGAGCTGCACTTCTGCATGGGAGGGTGAAGAGGGCTGAAAGACAGTGCAAGGAACAAAACCTACAAACACAACTTTGCACAAGTTACATCTCATGCAAAGGCATAGCCTCTTGTCTCCTTCAAAAGAGCTCCCTGACTGGCTTGGACTTCCCCCACTGGGGTCAAGCAGCCTCTGGCAGAGGGGACATAGGCAGCATCACAGGGCCCCAGGAGCCCCCCAGCTCCAGGGACATTATCGTCAGGTGAATAAAGTTCGGCACACCCTGTAACATCATGCCCAAGGGCTTCCTTTGAAAAAGAGCCATGCCCTACCTTGTGGTGATTGCTCCCAAGGCAATCGTGTAACACTTTGCCCTTAGGTCATTTCACTGTTGAACAGACAATGATGAGGCAGGCTGAGCAGCACTGCTTCATACCATACCCAAAATAGGTCCCAAAGCTCACCAGAGTGTGCCTATGGTGATGCTCTGTTTGGCCAGCATCTCTGTTAAGAAATCTGGGCTACTACAGAAATAATCTAGGTACTTATAACCAGACACATCAGACTAGGTCCCTGATACCAGCTCAGAGACATTTGCCAGCATATGGAAGAAACAAATAACCCCATAATACATGGACTTGATCGTGTACTCTTTACTCATGCAAAGCTCAGTGTAGCAGATAACTGTTTAGACCAGTTACAGGCTCAGACCCCTCTTTTTAAAGAGGTCCCACAGACTCAGGGTTGGTATGGAGAGAAGAAAAACATACATTATTTTCTTATACTACAAAGTGAAACTTTATGTACATATGCATGTGCACACACACACACATATCTATAAAGCTCTGCAAATGAAGAGGGTAGAAAAATTATCTGCCCCCCTCACCTTCCCTGCACGCACACTTTGGGCTCCACCTTGCCAACACCACCAGGACTGTGCAAAGTTCAGATTCCTCTCTCCCATGTGGTTTGCCTGCTGCCATTCCCTTGCACTGGTGGCTGGGCAACAAATGAAGGACTCAGCCATGACATGTCAAGTCTTTAGCTAGTCTTTGGGCAAGTGCATTTACAACAGAAAAGAAAACACTTCTATTTAGCGGAGGGAATGAGACATATTTGGCTGCTTACCCAGCTCCCAGGCCCTCTTTATAAGACTTCTGTCTGTCCCAGAGCTAGCCAAACACAGCCACGTTTTAAATTTGATGCAATTACCTCCACACACACTACTTAACAAGCTTTGCAGTCCCTGGACAGGGATATATAGTGCCTTTTTTCCTTCTGCAGGCAAGGATCCAAGATGCAGCAGTGGGTATATTAAGGGAAGCTGCTGCCCACAGCAAATGAGAGGGAGGAAGTGTGGGAAGCATTTCTGTGAAAAGCAGCTCCATGTGAGTCAGCATAGATGTGTGGGTCTCAAATTCATTCAATTCTTTCTGGCCTTCTCCCCCTATCCATTCAGGCACACTACTTGCTTACTCCATCAGCCCTCCACAGTTTCTCACAGACCCTACAGCCTCTGGTACCACCCATGACTCCACACCTAGACACACATCGCAAGAAGTGATGAAGAGATAAGAAACAACAAAATTAACATCAGCCAAGAAAAAGATCAGGATAAACAATACCTATCTGAG